ATTAGCCCTGAGCTGGCGGAGGTGGCCGACAACCTCCTGTATCTTTAGGACAAAGCAGAGTTTCTTGATGCTTCGCGCGAAACTCCCACCCAAGATTGGCAACGTATGCTTCTCAGGAGCTAATCTGGTTCTGCAAGAAGACGGCGGGAATGCCGCGGGCGCCGTGTAACCATCTCGAGGTTTCCTGATCAAACCCCGTAAAACCTCCTGGACGAGCCGTAGTAGCGGTGCCGGATGTTGCACTCCGGGCACTGGAAATTGTCCAAGTAAGGGCCATTTCATATTAACAAGACTTCGTATTCCCTCAGGCTTCGGGATACATGGATGTGCTTGTCGGAAGTGACTGTGAAGGTTTCGACCCGAATCTAGCCCATGGAACGTGCGCCGACTATCGTCTTGGTAATTGGAAGATGGAATCCGCGGCTGCTTGGGGTTTGAAGAGATGGAAAGCTTCCATTGCATTTGCCGTCCTCCTGGCTCCGCTTACGCATAATAGCTATCGGATATTGGAGGTTTCGGGCAGTTATCTTGGAGCACGTCGCCCCCATCCTTGACGTGAGGTCATATTGGTGTGGCAGGTCGGCTTTTTGTTGGAAGGATTTAAACGCGCGTTCTGGGAACGTTCCATCGAAAAGACGGGATGCATGGATTAGCGAGCCGGCACGGATCTCATCTCCTTCCTTCTTTTTCTTTTGAGCGGGGAGATTCGGTGGAGTTCGGTATCTCGCAGCGTTGCAGTAAGGCGCAAATACAGTGTTGGCGAAAGACACATGTCTCTGCATACAATCGCATGCTGCAGTCATACCGAAAGTTGTCGGCATAATTAGCCCCCCTGCCAAAAGTCCATATCCGTAGGGTACTCGAGTCATCGTTTGCGGGGCATCCGAAGGTTAGCGGCATGCAAAAGACAAGCAGCGCACTGGAGCCAGAACATCACGTAATGGTTTGTGATGTCGTTGTGAGTCTAGGTCGCACCGAGGCTATGGTTCCTTTCCCGCAATATGTTCGGCTAGAGGCTGATTGACAAGAAAGAAAGCTGCGGCATTGAGCCCCTGAGGAGCGGGCCGTCCGCAAATCTTCTCGAAGCCGGGTTTCACGATGGGGCTAGTTCTCCCATCTTGGCTCCAATGGCTCCAAGATTAGCTCGAGGTCCCAACGCATGGGGATGACATCTTTCTCGGCCGTTGGCCGCATCAACCTAGCGGAGAGACCGGCAGCGATGTCGGCAGCAATAGCGGTAGGGTTGTCGTGCATACGCGGGGGAACCACCACTTCATGAATCAAGTCGTGATGATTTTGTTCGATGGACGACACATGTGCGACAGATGTGCAAAGGGGTGGGTATCGATTTTAGAGAGGTCCAATTACCTGGCCGGTAATAGGAAACATCTTTTCCCGCCATCTTCGGGGCCGATTAGTCGAACGCCAGTCTGTCAGCCCGGCAGCCGATTAGCTTTTCGGCGAATTACAAGAAGCTTCTTATTGACGTTCCGGTGGCATACCACAGTAGTCCTGGACGCGTGGGAATAAGAAGGAGTAAGCAGATGTTGGCGAGTCATTGGACTCAGTCTAGCCGCCTGTGAGGTTTCTAGTGGTCTGGCGAGATGGGACGGACAGAACGACAGAAGGTTTTCCAAGTGTCCCCACCATTATCGAATGGCGCACCGAGAGCCGAGAGGTTTGGTCGTAAGACGCGAATGAGGTAACATTCGGGGAAAACTCCGGCGTCTGTCAACTGCCGTATGGCGAGGAGCCCGGATCTGTCATCTGTGTTTCGAGTATGCATGTCGGCAGCATCTACTACAATTAGTTAGTAATCTTCGGGCCGCGGGCAACTAGAGAGTTTCAGTAACGGGCTTTGAATCTAAAGGTTCGACGACGTCCCATCAGGGGCCTTCGCTCGCCGTCTCCACGAAATAAGTTGTCATCCAATGTTGTGGTCCAAGTCATCTAACAAGAGGTAGTTGTAATTCGAGAGCAAGTGTATACGTGCGTAGCAAGGCAGTGAAGTTGGAATATCGGATCGGCGATGTGCAGTGGGATGGATGGAGTGGAACGGTGGGAGGCTGTGGAGTCGTGGAGGAAGATCCCAGCAGGTGGAGAATGGCATCTGTGCTCGCTGCCCGCTGCCCAGGGAAGAGCTTGATGCGCACATCACCCTCCCATTTCACGTAACAGCCTCTCAAAGGTGTGGTCGGTCCATACCATGGACATTATTCACAGTCAATTACAAGCTCCAGCTTTATCAACTAAGATTAAGCTCTTGTATTACTATGGTGTCATTCCTTTTCATGTACAAGCACGCCAAAGATATCTATGTACCGGACCCCAGTTTTGCTCTCGAAATCAACTGCAAATGCCATAACCGGGTTGGCACCCAGCACCACAGTAGAGATCCGAATTACCACACCATCCATTCTTGCTGCAGCATTGGTAGTCACCGTTGCCTCGGCAAGTAGCTATTCCTGCACCACACGCACCGTCTCTTGCGACCGGCAGCCCTGAGCTCCCACCGCTGCCTGAGCTACCGCCGGAACTACCACCGGAGCTGCCACCAGAGCTGCCTCCTGAATTGCCTCCTGAACTGCCTCCGGAGCTGCCTCCGGAGCTGCTTCCCGCGCTGCATGTGCCAAAGCCCGGCTGGCAACCCGTTCCGCAGTAAGCACTTGTCGTCCCGCAATATCCATATGCACTGCAGCAGTATCCGCTACCGCAAGATCCAACACCGGGACCGCAAGATCCAGGCTCGCCGGGATTGGGTTGTGTCGGTGTTGTCGATGTCGTCGGTTGGATAGAAGATGCTGTCGTTGTTGATGGTGCCTACTTGTTTGTCAGCGGGGTGATACTCTGTCTGGAATTCGTTCACCTACTTGGCAGCTCGCGAGTCGCGTGTCTGCTGCAGCTCCCTGCAGCCAAATTTTCATGGTGGCCTGGAAAGATTTGCCGTTATAGGGGTTGCCGTCACCGCGAGTTGCCTCCCAAACAGCCACGCCTCCGAAAGATGGCCGGCAGTAGTACGCGCTGATGAGATTATTTGCCTGCTGATGGGTGATATAGTTCCCAGCATTGGCGGCATCTGAAGAACCAGGTAGGGTGATGAACACCTTTGCGTCTCTGCTTGGGGTGTTCGATAGCCATTGAACCCAGGCATCGAACGTGAACCCGGCTTGCTGATACGTTGAACCAGGGGTGTAGGATGGGTTGCTAGCTGCCCAAGTCGCAGCTGAGCAACTAGGGGTGTTGTAAAATTGGACAAAGATCATGTCGAACTTGGCGGCGGAGATCATCGCAGCCATGTTGGCATCTGGAACGACGCATTGAGGAGCGCCAGTCAGGTAGTATTGCTTCGAAGCTGTGGCATAGAATGTACGCAGAAGGGTCACTAGGGCAATGTAGCCTTCCGAATTGTCTGCAGGTAGCTAAGCATCAGCTGCCATTCATGGAACGCATCGACCAGGGGACGGCAAAGATGTTAACAAACCTGTGGATGGATGCTCTATATCCATATCGAATCCGTCAACCTCAACCGCTTGCCCGTTGTAATCGAATGGACGAGGCCCTGTCCAGTTGGGATCTTTCGGTCCGAACATGTACCACAAGTAAGTTGCCAGGAGTTCACCCTCGTTTCTGCCTGTGAGCTGGTATGATACCACGCCACCTCCGAGTGACAGCAAGATCTTCTTGCCATACTGCTGCTGGCATACTGGAATCTGAGCGTTGAGACTAGGGCAATTTGACTGCAACTGATCTTTGGAAGGGTCGAGGACACCGTTGAAGCCAGGACCTGGGTAAACTTGGCCGCCGCATCGATTGCCAAAGTTTGTTCCAGGGTATCCGTTTGCCTGAGCTGGGAAAAGATGCACGAACGAGAGGACAATTACATCAATCTCGGGCTGCTGGCATTGGTTTATTAGGTCGCCCTGATTCGGACCTTGCCCCTGTTTCATTGTCAGTCCCAGAGTCACGAAGACGATTTGAAAATGAGTCTCCTTACGTAGTAGACAACAACATTGTTTTTCGAAGTTGGATCGAAAGCTGCAGAACACCATGAGACTGCTATGCTCAACAAGACGAACATCCTGAACAGCACCATTGCAGCAAAGTGGTATATGGGGAATCAAAGGCAGACAAGCGAAAGAAAGAGACAGAAGAGGACGACAGGTTTCTGACAGCCAATATTGGCTTGAACACAGGAGTCCTCGTGATGCTGGAGGCAATGCGGACTTCAGTAACGATGACGTCGGCGCCCAAGTCTAGGACACTGGGAAGGCGAGTGCAGTTGCTGGCTGCTTCTCCATGATGAACGCATTTGGAGGGTAGTTCTTTCTCTAAATAACATCTAGAAAGTAAAGGGACAATCGCACCTCCCGCAAGTTACATATTCCATCTTCCAAGAGCCAGGCGCAGACCCCCTCCATCACGGCTCCTCCTTCTCTCCTGCGGTCCTGCCGTGGGCGGAAAGTGTCCAGAAAAGAAATGCGGCGGGAATAGTCCTCCCTCCCCGCTGGGCGTTATTGCGATGCAGAATTCCGCGACAGAGTCCGATGGCGTCGTCAATCCAACTTTCCCCGTCACGTTCCCTCTTTTCTGCAAGGGCGACCGTTACCCCTTGACTCATCCTGCCACCAAAGCCGATAAAGGGCAGGATCGCGTGAAGAGGGGGTTGGAGCCATCCTCTACGCGACGCGTCAGAAATGTGCGGGATCTACTGGATTGACTATCGAGGTTGATTTCAGCGTCATTTTGAATGGTTCGAAGGCCATCACTCCTTTGCTTCGTGTAACCCCGCGATCGAGCCTTTCCGGACGGCCGAAACATTCGGGGCTTTCGGTGGGGCCGTGCCGCCGAGACCGCCGAATGCCCCACCGAAACCGCCGACCGAGACCTGAAGTTTTCGTCGCACACTTGTTGCTGCCTGCCTTTATCCAAACTTAAAAGAACCTCGATTCGTGATAATTTCATCTTAGACACCATCGACTTCAGAACGACGAATATCAAATATGGTCCTCCTCCCTCAGACGATGCGCTCTCTCGTCGCGCCGAAGCACGGCAGCCCTGTCGGCTGGGAAGTAGCTGAAGTGCCGGTGCCGACCATTACCAGCCCCACGGACGTGATAATTCGAGTAAAGGCTGGAGCTGTCATGAAGGGCGACTGCCAGAGATCTCAGGGTTCTCCGATCGTTGCGCTACGCAAAGAAAGGTACGTTGAGTACTGGCCCATGGGCCAAAACCTCATCTGTAGGGCTAACAACTTGTTGTCTTCAGTTTTCCCATCAAGATTGGCTGCGAGGGCTCCGGGATTGTCGTAGCTGTCGGCGCGGACGTAAAAACCCTCAAAGTAGGCGACGCAGTCTACGGGCTGTGCTTCACGCGGCCAGCCTTCAGCATCCCCGACCCAGGCTTCTGCTCCGAGTACGCCGTTGGGCCGGAGAGACTTTTCCTGCCCAAGCCGCCGCATATGAGCTTCGAAGAGGCTGCATCTCTTTTGGGATACACCGTCACGGCGTACCAGACCATTAGACGCGGACTCGCCATCGCAGGACAGGAAACGCTGGAAGGCAAGACCGTCTTCATTCCCGGAGCCCTGAGCGGTGGAGGCTTCAGCGCGATCCAAGTTGCCAAAAATGTCTTTGGCGCCAGGAAGATTATTTCCACGGTTTCGACCTCTAAGATGAGCCTCGTTGAGCAGCATCTTCCGGGGATGGTTGATGAACTGATTGATTACACCACTACGGACGTCGGCTCTGTGATACCCAAAGGAAGTGTGGACTTCATGTACAACACGCAGTGGAATACTATGGGTCCCGGAATACCTCTTCTCAACCCCAAGACGGGCATACTCATGTCTATCGCATCTATTCCCCCGCCAACCTTGACGAAAGAGCTTCTTGGGCCAGCACTGGTTCCCTTCTGGGTTGTCTGGGTGTTGCACTTAGCCCAGCTTTGGTACTCGTTCTTATTACGCGGCACCAATATCAAGCATGAATTCGTGTCTGGCAATCCCGAGAACAGAGAGGACTTGGAGAAGGCTGGGGAGCTTATCGCCACTGGCAAGGTCAAGGGCGTCTTTCGAGTAGTGGACCTGGCGGACTTTAAATCGGTGAAGGAAGAGTGTGAGAAGGTGAACAGTGGCAAGGGAGGGATTGGGAGATGCATAATAAGGGTCGAGTCTTGAAGAACCGTCTCATTCGAAGCTTACGACAGACTTTCTCATCAACATCATGCACATAATTTAATGCAGATATATCAAGGAATCGACATCTCATCTCACTATGTTTCTCAGCATTGCCAAGTAATATGATCCATTCGATTGCGCCTCAACAGACCTAATCTCATACTCGGAATTAAAGGCCGTCGACAGAATGAGAAACTGTCATTGGCTTGGTACCGAAGGATTCGTGTACGTAATCGTGTCGCATCCCTCGATTTGGCCCAGGTGGCGCCCATCGGCATTCAGATTGATCCAACGTCAATTCAACTTACCAGGACGGCGGTAAATAGTTTCAGAGGTTCAACACACGACTTTTCGCAATCGCATTCATGTCAAAAGACCAATCCCTCCGCCTCCCAGATGGCCGCACCCTCAGCTACACCACATTCGGCATCACCCCACAACCAAACCAACCAACAATCTTCCACTTTCACGGCCTCCCAGGCTCCCACCACGAAGGCCAACCCGTCCATGAAGAAGCCACCAGGCGCAATATCTGTGTTGTCGCCGTAACACGCCCGGGCTACGGCGGTTCGACCTTCCAACCCAACCGCACAATCCTCTCCTTCCCGCAAGATGTCCTTCACCTAGCAGACAACCTCAAAATCCAGCGCTTCGCCGTGCTAGGTATCTCCGGCGGTGCTCCGTACGCCCTCGCATGCCTGCACTCCATTTCACCATCACGGCTCTCCGGCGTGGCAATCGTCTCCGGGATGTTTCCGTCGGAGCTAGGTCTGAGCGGCATGATGCTCATGAACCGCCTGCTCTTCAGCATTGCGCCGTGGTCACCGGGTCTCATTGAGAGCATCGCCGACTGGGAAGTGGGGAATCTCGCTCGAGATGCTGAACACCCGGAAAGGCTCGCCCGAGCGACGGCTGATGCCTTCAAGAGTCGTCCGGTTGAGGATCGGGAAGCGCTGTACGCCGATGATGGCAAGATCTTGCGGGTGTTGGAGCAGAGTACACGCGAGGCATTTCGTGAGAGTAGTCGTGGATTTGCGTGGGAAGCGAAACTATTCGGGAGTTCTTGGGGGTTCGAGTTGAAGGATTTGGTTGTACAGGAAGGGAAGTTGGTTATTTGGCATGCGGGCAAGGATGTCAACGTCCCATTAAGAATGGCTCAGGATGCGGCGGGACTGATTCGAGGTGCGGAACTCAGAGTCGTTCAAGAAGAGGCGCATATCAGTTTGATTTCGCGTCGGATTGGGGAGGTGGTCAACAAACTTGCAGAGATCTTAAGGGCCTAACTATTTGATGCAGGTAGATTCCACACGGCATCACGCCAATAGTCCAAGAGTGTAGCTTGTCAAAAGACTTTCGAGGCGACATGAAGAATATTTGTTGCCCCATGGACGCGCTGTGTTCTCTATTTTCGATTTGAGAACGCCGACTTGCAGAATGATACGATGCGTGCATGCAATGCCTGCAGTCCATGCCAAATAAGTCGACCATCTGGTTGGTTTGCTTCCTAGAAAACGACAACGCCGGGTACGAGACCCGCTGTTGCTGCGTTGACGAACATCTGGTTCGTTCTCTAACTCCGGATAAAAGCGAGGCAGTGGGTCTTGGAACGCGAGAACTGATTTCGGATGTGATATTTCATGCATAGACCGGCGACTTGCACCAACGCCGGATAGTTCCCCGGACCTTACCGCTGACAACATGGACCCCTCTTTGCCCAGGTTGACAACTTAAGATACCTTGATCTCTCACTTGCATCCAAGTGGCCCAGCTCACAACCTCTCTTTTGTTCCCATTCGTTGCTGGTTTCCTGATAAGACACTAAACTCCTAGAATGACAGCTTCAACTCCCACTTCTCCTTCGCCAGCTGTGGCTCCGAGGTCGAACTCATCTTCGCCAAGAAGGAACGAAATTGCCGAAAATGACCATGTCGCTATGCAAACCGAAAACAACCAGATCGAAGTTGACGATACGGCTAGTGTTCGTGAAGCCTCTCAGTAATGATGGATACCTAAATGAAGATGTTGCTCACATGTACGACAGCTCAACGAGGCAGTATCATCCATTGACGATCGGATGCAAGTTTCTGCCTTTCACGATTCCTTTCTATGCGTGTATGCTGACTGCCATTTCCAGTTCGACTTACACAGCGTCTCTATCATCTAGTGTGGTGGACTATCCTACCGAGAACGGTCGGCGTTACCACGCGTTTCGAGCGGGCAGTACGTGACGGTTACTCGTTTCGTTTAGAATTTATCCCAGCAGCTGACAGCTCAACAGCGTACCTTGGACCTAACGACGAAGTAAGAAGAAATCTGTAATTGTTCAAGAAGTGCCGTGAACCGACTAATACGATTCCAACCGTATAGAGCGAGATGGACAGACTGGACTTGAATCACATGTTGATAATGAAGACAATTGGCCGAAAGCTTTTCCTGGCTCCGATTCCGCCTCAGAGTATCCATAGAATACTTGACATCGGCACCGGCACGGGAATCTGTATGTCTTTATGATCAGTAGCGCGCTACCCGTATTATGCTGAATCGAGTTTTAGGGGCTATCGAGGCAGCGGATGTGTTCCAAAACGCAGAGGTATTTAAGCGAGATACCCAACGCCGAACGGTTGTCGCCTATTACCTATTTCTGACTATGCGTGTAGATTCTGGGAATCGATCTGAGTGCAATCCAGCCCTCATGGTATGAGCGATACATGAAGGCGATATTCTACTTAGGCAGAGACGTGTTCCGCTAACAACTTGAGAACTAGGGTGCCGCCTAATGTGAAATTCGAGATTGACGACGTTGAGAGTCCTTGGGTCAACGAACACAAATTTGACTTCATCTTCTGTCGGTACATGGCGGGCTCCATCGCAGACTGGGAAAAGCTTATTAAGAACATCTTTGAGTACGTTTCATCGCGATATAACATCTCCCGCGGCTAATCAGATGTGAAGCAACTTGGCCCCCGGAGGTTGGGTCGAATTCCAGGACTACGATATTTCTATCGTCTCGGATGACGGCACGTTGACCGAAAAGCACCATACTTCCAAGTGGATGAGTCTGCTCATCGAAGCATGTGTTAGCGTTGGGCGTGATCCTCGCCCTGGACCCAATATTGAAGGTTGGGTCAAAGACGCTGGATTTGTCGATGTGGTCCATCAGAGATTCAAGATGCCTATCGGTCCTTGGCCAAAGGACCCGCACCACAAGGATGTCGGTATGACGAACTTGATCCAGCTTCTGGATGGACTGGAAGGCTTCAGTCTGCGGGCCTTCTGCGGCATCCTTGGCTGGACGAAGGAGGAAGTCTTGGTGCTTCTTGCTCAAGTGCGCACTGAGTTGAAGTCTGGGAGCTTCCATGCTCGTAGTGCAATGTGAGTCAAATCCATCACTCACGAGGTGAACACGCAAAGTGCATTCACTAACTTCTTTCCAGTCATGTGGTCTATGCACAAAAGTCGGAGGAGAAAACGGAGGACTAATGTGAGATAGGAAATGGCGTTCGAGATGGGTGATCTTGTCAATCTGATCTGGCGATGTGAATCGAGAACCCTTTTAAACTTGACCATCTCGCACCGAGCCACTCTACATCTTATGGAAAGGTCTCCCGTACTGCAAATCACATGCACTCTTCCCATGCACCACGATGTGGCTTAAGTGCGGCTAGGCCAATGGGGCTGTCTAGCAATCGCGCGATCGAATTCAAAATGTGGGTAAACTAGCGTCTGTTCAGGGCAATTCCGGGTGAGACATCACATCTGCTAACGGGGATCTCGAGGTATGGTGCTCATTTATAGGTACCGGATGGAACCGATGAAGATCCCGCTCCGGCAAACTAGGCCCGATGCGTCTTCAAGCCCGTTCCCGTTCGATCCATCCGGGCTGATTCTCCAAGCCATCGACGCCCTGGTTGCTATTTGACGAGAGTCTCGCCCCAGACACCTCACCGAAACCGAACGATGGTAGCCGGAATCAAGCGAGACTGTCAGCCTGGGAGAGGTGGCTCTTTGAACAGCCATGCCGCTGAGATGGACCCTTTTGCAGCCATGTCTCGTGGACCTTTTGTCTGGAATGCGTGTTATTCGTTGCCAGAGTGCATCGAGTGATGGTTTTAATGGAAGACCCCCTCTCTAACCTGTCTGATGGTGCTATTCTTTCTCTTGAAAGTGTTTTTCGGGTGTCACAAAAACCGTCAAGGCGCCATATTCGATTTCTTGGCGTTCACCAGAGATCAACTTCGAGATTGTTTATCAGAGCCACCGCCGTTGATTGACACCATGCGGACAACCTTGGTGGCCCTTCTCGTCGGTGTGACGAAAATCTTCGCCCAACAGCCAACTCTACCCGATGTTCCCGGTCTTTCACTCGACGATAATCCCCCATGCGCTGTAAGAAGACTGGAACCACCCCATCAGCAACTAGATACGGCGGTGTTAATTTGAAGTGAAGCTACCTTGCCTCCTCGGAGGCCTCAATCAAACGAACTGCCCCACGAATGATCAAACATGTCTGTGTCAGGATGACGACTTCATCAAATTCGTGGAAGGATGTGTTGTTATGAGCTGCCCGCTGAAATACGCCATCAGTAGGTCTCAGTCCGCCCCAGTGCGGAAGTTATCTGTCTGACGTCTACTTCAGTCACGCAAAATATCACCTGGACCGCGTGTGATTTCCCTCTGCACAATGAGGTACCAGCCACAAAAGTAGCTCGGATCGTTCTGTTCGCGATGCTTCCAACACTCGCCATCATCCTTCGGCTGATAACGAAGTTTGCTCGGTTATCGCCGTGGGGTTGGGATGACTATACTATTATTGTGGCATACGTAGGTCGCCGACCAGCCCGGAAAGGCCTGACCAAGACACTAATATGATGTTTGAAGATTATACTTGTGGCGTACGTGTCATTGCACGTCTTTCGTAAGCCACCGAGGGATTCTCAACTCCAAAAGTGCGCTGACATTATTGAACAGTCGAGGATAACGGTGCCGGGAGAGATCTATGGACTCTCAGTGACTCAGAGATTACCCATTTCTTCAAGGTATTCGACGCCTGCCGCGTCTCCGCGGACGTCATATCGTCTGCACGACTTGCACCAGGGGCTATTGTTGCTAACATCAAATCTTATAGGGCTTCTATGCACTACAAACATTATATCATTCCTGCATCGACATCATCAAGGCATCGATTCTCTTCATGTACCTTCGAATTTTTCATCTGCCTGGCGAAAAGATCACCATTGCGTTGTGGGTCACGCAGGCCCTTAACCTCATGAACGGCGTCATCTTCATCTTCGTCGGCCTGTTCCAGTGCAATCCCGTGAGTCTTGCATGGACCTTCTGGACAGGGGATGCGACTGGGAAGTGTATGAACATTGTATATCTCGCGCTGGCACACGCAGGGATAAACATTGCGCTGGACATTTGGATGCTCATCCTACCCCTGACACAAGTTTGGGGCATGAATCTGGCTCGCCGCAAGAAGTTTGCGATCATGTTCATGTTCAGTCTCGGTCTGTTGTGAGTACCTTACCTTAATATCCATCTCATGAAGCACCGCAGGTTACTGACATATTCGGTTCAGTCTCACAGTTGTAAGCTGCATCCGAATCAAAGCAATCTTGGACTTTAGGAAAGATCCGCTCAACCCTACCGGTAAGCTCCTGACTGCTTCGCTCCACACGATGAAGCCTGAGTACTGATGCATTTCACTCCATCGCAGTGGCCATGATGCCGAGCGTCATTTGGACGGACCTTGAGCTTTACGTTGGAATTTTCACAGCTTGCATACCGACTCTTCGTCAATTCTTTGTTCGGTTCATCCTTCAACAATCAGAAAAGAAGAAGCGTTTGAGTTCAGCTGCGGCTGAGTATAGAGGCTCAATGCTCACGCCCAAGAAGGGCGGGTCGCAGCAAATGAGCGAGCTCGACACCATAGACGAGAGCAGCCACCATAATTCTCCATAAAATCATAGTATGAGAGTAAGATTGTAGGACTTAACTCGTCCGTATGTATAATAATTAAGTGCAGACTTAATGTTGGCATATGTAGATATCAAAGATTAAGGTTGCTACCCGCAGTGGAAGAAGCTGAACTGCCTTTTCCTATGGCTATCTTATTCCTATGGAATGTTCCTTCGTGGAATCTGATCACCTTGATTGATCATAGCTAGAATCTTGTCGTTTATATATTGTCGCCGCCCAAGTATTTATTCGAGGATAGAGAAGGTGAAAGGAAAAGTAGCCATCTCTCCAGAAATTCATTCGTCAGATCGTGGGCTCCTGCATTTAAGCGCAGCTTCATCAAACTACCTCGAAAAATTACTAAGCTTTATCGGTGCTCAAGAACCCCAAAGCCCGGATCTCAGAGCGGAATTCTAAAATGAGGCTAAGCTCTTTTCCCCTTTTCTCCCTTCGTCAATGACCATCTACTTCAGTTATAGCTCCTTCGTTGCACCCTCCATGTAGCATTCTGAGCTGACGACCATCATCTACTCTCATCTCATCATCTTCCATCACAACCACCAGCTAAAACTCTTTTCTTCACGATCATGGCTCAGTCTTCTTCCGACTCCTCTCAAGCAGAATACTCTCTCAAGGCCACTGTGGCTGCCATCACATCCTACTATGAACTTCTCGCCCGCGTACACCCTGACAGTGTCTGTTCTCTCGAGTACCCTCCCTCCGGAGGATGGCCTCAGATTACGTCTGAGTCCTTCTGTATCTTGGGCCGAAATGATACCGTCATTGAGTTGATGCGGCACGTTCCGGTATTTCACTAGCGATCGGATCAGCTGCATGAAATCAAATACACCCTGTAACTTCGCAGACGTATCTTTCTGCAGAAGGACCCATGAAGAAAGCCGCGCGTATAATGAGGAAGTGCGGCCTGTCCCTCAGGACAAGATTGGTGCTAATCCTGACTACTCTCCTGAGGGCGGAGGAGTGCCGATCACATCCAGCATGTTCACCTTGGCGGTGCTGGCCGAAGAGAAACAAGAGGGCTTTGATATCCTTCTTGAGACGGAACACAACATCGTCATTGTGGTCAGAGTTAGGGAGGAATTCCCACACGGGTAGGCACCGATCCCTCCCGATGCGGATTATATCAAATGGGGCGGAGATGATGAAGACGAGGCGGAAGATGAAAAAGAGGATGAAAGTAACGGAGAGGATAGTGAAGACAGTGAGGAGGATGTCGACATATATACACTCGGTCATAATTGGAGATATTCGCCGACCTATCGCATCAATACATTTCTCAAAATGTGTCAAGAGCAATGGAAGGTTATGAACTGGATGCTAAAAATGGAATGGGCTGGCCAGATTGGGAAGATACCGGCCCGCAGGCAAAAGATCATGCGGGAAGCTGGCTGGCCCGGTACAGGGGAGGAAGTTGGCTTGGGATGGGACAAGGCAAAGGCAGAGAAACAGATGATTGAGCTCATGTAGATTTTCAATAATGGAAGTTCCTACGCTTTGATCGGTGATATATCTGTGGGATTCAGCATTGTTTCGGCACTGGTTGTATTTGTTTTTTACCTACCGTTTGGAACTGGCGGATCGGGACGGCTGACCAGGCTCCGGGCCGGACGTGGCGCGTGCACGCGCGGGACGGAGCGAGCACCCGCAACGGCAGGTGAACACAGCTTCCGTTGGGATGGAAGCATCCATATATGACGTTATTTGGTAATCTGCTTCCGTTAAGCATCTAACCTCCTGAATACGTTTGCTACTCTGATATAGTTTGGGAAGCGTCTGGGAAGTGAAGTTGCTGTCGTATTCGCTAAAATCATGCAGGCATCGTTGCTGAGTCCACTGCCTTATCGCTCTTGAGGCCCTTAGGTAAGCCCAGACCACTTAAAGTCCAGCGGAGCTATCACGTACATTACGCGCCTCGACCATCAAAAGACGCGTCGCGCCCGGCACTCCCTAGCATCATTCCATCTCGCATACTCAACTTGTCTCAGGCAAATGGAGATATTCCATTCGATCTGATCCCCGTCAGCCCGTACCATCCTTTCCCGACTCTGATACAAATACAACATCGTCAATTCGATCATTCTGCCCCGGTTATCTCAGGCAGCACCGAAATTACCGCCTTTTATCTTCCAAGAGTTCTACCTGGATCTCCAGACAAAGATGGCTCACAAGCGCAAGCGCTCCGAATCCGAACTCGTCACCCTCTTCCCCTCGCCAGCTCGCTCCGAATCCAGCATCGAGTCCTTCGAGTCACCAATCTCTCCAAGCCCCATCTATCCTCGCGCACATGCGACGCCATCGCACCTCTCGAGTCGCACAATGAAGCGCTTCCGCGACAACAGGCCCTCGGAGGAGCAAATCCATCGTAAGTCTGGTCCATGGCGTCAATTAAGAAGGGCAACATAGCTGACAGCATACCTCAGAGCGTACTCTGAACATGCTTTACTCCGCACAGCAACACAACCAGTACCCAGCCGACGCAGGCCACGAGACGAATCAGTCCGAACCCACACCCGTTCCTGCCGCCCGCAACACCCAGAAGTCCCTTCACAGTTTCTGGAATATCAAATCGGCCGAGCCCAGGTGCCCCGCCTTGGCCCCGTCTGTGGATCAGAGCGCGCTGTCGCCGATGAGCTGCGACGACTGCGGCGCTGGTCTTGGTGCGTCGGATGGCGCTGCGGACGGGATGGATATCGACGATGGTTACAGCTACGGCGTCGATCACTCTTGCGGTGCGTGCAGCAGGCACGTGTGCTCGCATTGCTCCGTTACAAACCTCGGCGAGCAGCGGCGATGCTTGAGGTGTGTTGGAGTTGCAGCGGGGGCGGCACGAAACGGCTCTGGATGGCCATCCTCTTCGATGTCTATCTTCTAAGTATCCTAGCCTGGCCGCTTCTGGGCATCGTTCTTTTCGGTGGCGCATTGGGTTCTACACGTCAACGGCATGCCACGCCATGACAGTCAGCCGTGTATGGTTCTGGGAAAAGGCGTTTCTGGCTTGCTGTGACATGATTCTCTGGTGTTGGCGTTGGGGTATTTTATCGTTCAGGAGATACCATAGGATATCGTGCATCACAATTCAATTTCAATCTGCGCATTCACTCAATAATCAGCTCATACTCAGCCGCACGAGCAATTGATGATGCTACGTACTGCGTCTAGAGCACCATGCATGATATGGACAGCGCCTCTTCAGGGGATGCCACATAAGAGTGGCACTTTGGCAGCGTGATCCAAATCGATCAGCACGAAGGTTCTCAGATAACCAATCACTGTATTATTCAGGTGGAAACGAAGTCGTTCAGTCCAATGATATCCAGTGGAAGGCCGGAAAACCCGGCCAAGGCGCGTGGCTAGGTGCAGCCGCCTGCATACGACGTTCTGAACCAACAGACGACGGCAGCAGCCTATCGCAACAACCTTTGCCGTAGAGATCCGTTCTTTCCCCTCTTCCGAGAAAGTCCTAAGGTAGAAAGCGGCCCAAACCTGCAAAGTTTCCAACATAAGTGACGGGCGTTTGCCATTCGACCTCGTGAAGCAACCAGCAGACAGAGCCCTACTTCCTCTTGCGCCCAAGGCGCCTGCGTCACTCATATTCAGTTTATACCAACACAAGATGGCCGAAGCGATTGGTCTCGCGACAAGCGTTATCGCCGTTGCCGAGGTCACAGGCAAGGCCATAGGTCTGACTCTCAAAATCAAATCGCTCTGGTGCGAAGTCAAGAACGTCCCAGCCACTCTTCTAGAAAAGGCTGAAGAACTTCAAGATCTAGACGACTATCTCAAAGATGCCAAAACTCAGACTGCGAGCAGTCCTGTATCTAAGTCGGTCGTCGACGATGAGATTATGCAGAAGTCGCTCCGGCGAGCCCGCGGCGCATTGGCAGATATACAGAACACCATCGATGACCTCAGTCTTCAGATGTCTGATCCGCGGAAGCATCGACGCAAATTGACTGCTGCAAAATTTGTCTTGCAGAAAGATACAATAGAAGACATGGAACGAAAGCTCGATCGAGCTTTGGAACTTTTCAAGGTGGCTCAAGGAATCTATTGCACGTGAGTTGAATACTGGATGTTTCGGTACTGGATTCTTTCTAGAGCTCGGCTGATCTGAGGTGAGCAGAAAATTGACTATGCTTTCCACGGCCATCATATTGGAACGGCTCCCGAATTGTTTGAGTCCTTCGGAAGTCACAGAGAAATCATCCCAAAAAGTCGAGGTGGCAGATTTCTTTCACCAACATAAACCAGCTGTTGCCAACATAGCTGGCAAGGACAACCTTGATATGGCTCAAGGCACAACCGCTATTGGAAGGTTTCGTCTTGGGTTTGGAGACGACGTCTTCCAGATTTCACTCAGATCACCCAGTTGGCTCGGCAGCAAGGTTTATTCCGCTATGTGCCACAAGAGCATACTTGGGTGGCAAATCAATCTTAGAACTTATGTAGTGATCGAGAACTTCTCCAGCTTTGAAGACGCGGTGAAGTCCGATGATCCACAGGCTCTCATGCAACATTTGCGATCAAGATCGCTAACGCCCTTTGTTCAAAACGAGCGCGGAGAAAACTTAATATCCGTACGTGAACCCAAATACCAGATTGAAGAGAGAGAGGCATTTGACACTGATCTGAATGAAGCTTTGCGCCCAAAACCGATGGGTCAACGTTGCGAAATGGCTTCTCACCTTTGGGCTGTGCGCTGATATCTATAGCGGTGACCCAACGAAGCTGAGGTTCATCATCCTCAAAGTCTGTTGTTTCATCGACACTTCAATGCTAATGCATTACAGAAACTCATATTCAAGTCATCTCATTTACAACGCTACCAATCAATGGTCTCATCCTCCAACTGCCCGCTCAGATTCTCCATCCGACTTGGCTCTCCTTTTCGCCTCACACGCGCTGAATGGAGACACTGGTATATCAGTTGACATTATGGCCTTCATAGCAGGCCTTGCAAACTTTGAAAATTTCAGCAGACTGCTTCATTCCAAGTCTCCAGTGTCAGATCCAAAATGGTTTTCTTTTGGCGCCAGAGTTTCATTTGCATATTCTGGAATCCTTGGCTCTATCTGGACCTTGGAACAAACATCTTCCGTGCTTACGGAACTCGGAAGCCTCACTAGAGAGCTCCTAATGTCCTGGAGACTCGGAAGACAAGACCCAGTTGTGATGACCTTGGCAGCAGTGGGAATCGGGGCTTCGTCTGCTCGAGCACCCCGTGGCGATCCTGCCCAGTCGGAATCCGTCACTGGGTATGCGCGACTAGCCGACCAAATCATTTCACTGGATCCTGAGAGTCTCATAAAAGCTACCAGAGACCAGAGAAGAAACAGTCCGATGCACATGTTCATGTGGTATATGCTTACCAACATGCAGCCTTGCTCGGCAGATCAAGCAGACAAAATCATACAATCGGCTTTACTTGTCTGGGTGACGACACTATACCGCAACAAGGTGGATCTTATAGATCATGGCCGTCAGTCGCAAATGACCTATAGCGTGCGAAGGCGTTGTGTGCTTCCTGGATGGACGTTTCGGATGGTTCAGTATCGCTCCGAGCCACGTAAGCGTCATCAGAAACGTGAACGATATTATCGGGCTGAATACGTCGGCATCACTTACGGTTCCTTGCCGGAACATTGGAAGATATGGTGGGCGGTTGAATATGAATGTTACGCGGGTGATTTTTGGAGAATGCTCGAGGATTCTGCCATCCAAATTCCAGGTAGCTGGGTGGATGATAGAGTTTTTGACGACGAGAAGATGTTGCCATCGTGGGTACTTGAGGAAAATCGCCCGTTGATATGGTCTGAATATCGCAAGATCAGGCCACCTGTATAAGAGTATATTCATCTTAGAAGCGGTCTTTGCCAACCCACCTCTATTTCGTAGGATATTCACTAGAGCTTACATTTCACGACCTCACGACATACAAGAGTTACGTTACCAAAGACACCGACCTTCTCGCAACAGAGTACCAATTCTCTGATCATGCAAGGGAATCAAAGCCACTATGCGTTGTAGACTATGGTGTCTACTGATCAGTACTACGTGGATGTGTTAGCAGGGAGCAGATGGAGATACTTTGCTGAGGCGTTAGTTTCGCCTCAAGACTGTCTCTTGAGCACCCATATGCAGTGCTTAGCACGACACTGAGGGCGAGAGATCCGAGTTCCTACACATTTCAAGCATGGATCACTCTTGAAACAAATAGTCTCTTCTTTCTAGATAGCTCTCATTACAGCCCCTTCTATCTTCTTATGCGCTCTACGAGTTGGAGTATAAGCATAGAGTCAAACGTGTCAAAGACAGAATCGACGCCAACTAGAGGCAGATTTGTAAAGAAGGGAAAAGAGACTATAGTTAGCTTATCAAATATATCCTCATGAAAAGTCGTGAGGCTCAGCCACGGTAATGAGTTGCCTTGTGTCTACCCCATGCAAGCGCCAGTCAGCTATGGGCAGGATAAGATGGTGTTGCGGGCGAAGCGATCGAATCAAATGATGGAAAGTCTAGACGCAACCACATGCATGGCGCACCATGCTGGATCAATAAGCCCAGCACCGCCTCATGACACTGAGGTTCATAAGGCTACGGACTCTGCCCCTCCCCCTCTCGTCTGACCTTCCTCCTCTTTTCTCTTCGAATCTTACTGTGCTATACGAAGACCCAAAGCATTCATTCCTTTCTCGTTTCCTGCTCACCTGCGGTTTTATTATCGGCGCTCGACTCCTCGGCAACCTCTAACTCTGGATCGGTAAAAGCGGAACTCAACACTCAGCTTATCAATATGGCGGAAGCTCTTGGCCTAGCTGCCAGCGTCATCGCCGTGGTCGACGTAACCGCCAAAGTCGGGAGCGCCACGTTCAAGCTCATGAAACTGTGGAACGAGGTAAAGGAAGTACCAACAATGCTTCTACAGAAAGCGGAACGTGTCAGAGATCTAGAGAACTTCCTGCTTGATGCCGAAGACCACATACAAAGTAGCCCGCTGCCACAAGCCTTCTGGAGTACGAACTACCGCTTGCGGCAACACATTGAAAAGGTCCGCCGTGCACTTGACGAGGTTCAAGATATGGTGGACGATTTACAAGCCAAGTTGACTGCCCGAAAAGACGGCTTCAGAAGCAAGCTGTTGTCAACCAAGGTTGTGTTTCGGAAAGACGAGTTGAAAGCCTTGGACACGAAGCTTGATGCAGCTCTCGGTTTATTTTCCATCGCACAGATGCAATGGATCATGTGAGTTACTGCCTTACATACCACTCTTTTAGATTCGGCTTTGTAACCATACATATTCTAGGGCGATGTCGACATTTAGAACCTCAATGAGCATCGAAGAGCGGTCTAGAAGACCAGCTGCTCCAAACACGCTGACGGCGGCAAGAAAGAAAGAGAGAGTAAGGCCATCAACCACACCCGCTCTCTGCTACATTTCTACCCCAGCTTCGATATTGCCTACCTTTCGATTCGGTTTTGGAGACAAAGACAGCTTCCAATTTTCTATCCAGGCGCCTTATTGGCTCTCTGGGTCTGTATACTCAGTCATGGCCCAGAAAAGTTATCAGGGCTGGCAGTTCAACCTGAGAGCTTACGAAGTTGTGAGATACTTTAGCGACGGATTATATGACTGCATCGAAAATGACGACCCCCCTGGAACTCTCCACTTGTTGTCTGAGAGCAAAATGACTCCCTTCGCAAAAAATCAATTTGGAAGAAGTCTACTGCATGTGAGAATTTTCGCTCTGGCAATGACATAAAAATTTGGCCACTGATAAGGCTGAGTCAATCACAGGTCGCAGTCCAAAAGAAATCTCTCAGAGTAATAGATGTTTTCCTAGAAAGAGGACTTGCATGTTTTCTGCAAGACCCGTGGGATAACAGAACGAAGGATAGGTAATAAATTACTTCCTTAGGCTGTGACACCGAGAATACCATATTAACATCTTTGACGATATATAGATATCCCTTCTTACTTTACGAGCTTAGTTGGTTGAACCAATCATATCGATATCATGATTTGGAACCTACGCTACAAAAGCTGTTTCTAGATAACTTCCTCGATGATTTCCTTGAATATTCGGAGCAAGTTTCACTTCTTCTTGATTTCGGCATTAGCTTATCTTTCCTTCGATTGCTTTTGAAACGCAATAATCTCACCGAGATATCTTTTTCCATTTTAACACGGCTGTTCCATCTCAGACTAGCTGCAACGAATTGCAACTGGGAGGCGCGGGAAATTTGTGTCTTAATTCCGGAAGCTCGACACCTTGATGAAAACCCCGGAATGCTTGCATATTCTAGAAACATTAAAGGATCCTCCCTTTTTCATTCATTCGCCATAGGGATGGCTGGCAACTTTTCGAGAAAGACCCGCCACCCAGATCCTGACCAGTGGGCCATATCAAGACAGTGGTGGAACAGATTACTCCATGACGGCATCAGGCTGGACCGTCCAAGTTTACATCACATCGACAAAACTGTTGGTTGGTCAGAATATGAGTTCATGACCTCACCCTTGCTTGCAATCATCGGATCGTTAATCGATGGGAACCGCTTGACTCTAAGCACTGCGAGACAAGTATGTGAATCGCTGATAGGAGTACTTTTTGAGTGGGTCGCTATGCTATCTTCCAGCAACGTGGACCTTCTGGAATACGGGCGTGAAGAAAAGCACATGTCCAAGCAAGGCCTTACGAATATCCGGCAGCGATGGGCCCCTTGGACAAAAGACTGTTTTGGGACAACTCGATTATCTGTTATCGGCATCACCTATGGTTCTTGTCCAAGCCACTGGAAGCTGTGGTGGACATATGAGTACGAAGATTATGCAGGAGAGTTCTGGGACATGGTCCAGGACGAGGCGAGCAAGGTACCTGGTGCCTGGGTTGATGACTCTTGGGATCCAGATGACTACGATTCTGAGGAGCATGACAGGTGGGAAGCATGGGAAAAGGAGCAGCCCCCTCCGTTGATTTGGTCCGAGTATCGCAGAGTTCGGCCGCCAGTCTAAGTTGATACTGGAATCAATGATTCAGTCGTCAGACAAGCAGCTGGCTCTTACTACAGTCATCACAATTCAAGTTACTTGAATGTTGCTCATTCAATGCGTTTTCCCCTTCACGATCCGGCCATCAACAAATTCATTCCAATTGCATCAACGGGATTCAGTGCACAAGCTTAAGAGGTAGTGGTGTACCTTAGGTCAGGGCAGAATTTGAAAGGTGTCTCAGTGAGTAGCCGCCGAGTGAATATCACCCCGATAATTGCATGAAATAGCTAGTCGGAGTGCTATGTTTGGAAAACCCGTGCGCAGTATGCAACTTGGAGGGAAGGTTTCTTTATCGGGAGCCCCTATGTCCCAAGCTTCCGAACCATATGAGGAGCGTTTCTCAATTTGTTGACCAAAGGCCAGGCTGAGCTCTTTTTCCTTTCATCGTAGCTGTCATCGTTGCTTTTTCCAACTATTTCCTAGATTTCCTTGACTTTGTATCTGCATCGCAACAGTCTTAGAAGGCCAAATGCGGAGGCTTGGTCGTCACGTGCAGCTTGTCGGCCTGACGATCGCACCTTCCTTGCTGGGTACCTCACCTCAGGTACCTTCCCTGAGCTAAGCTCACTGCCAAATCTTGGAATCGACTTGTCGCCTCTCACATTGTCTCATACAACAAACTCACAACACCATCCGCTCGCTCAAGTTCTTTCCCTCCTTTCTCGATACCAGCCGACCTGTACCGGCCGTCCGTCATTCAATTCCGCTCATTTTATCATTGTCCCTGGATTCGAAGCGCAGATCCAGGCCCACAGACTTCTCTACCTGAGCTTCTCTCTATCCCTCTGACGGAAAACATCCACAATGCTCGGCTGGTAAGCTTCGCCAACAAAATTCCTTGATATCGCCAAGCTTTGCATCGCTAAACACTTCATCTCCAGGTATCAGGCAAGACTCGCGGCTCGCCCGCTGCTCACTCAGAGCATCACCACCGCCATCCTCTTCGCGACCGGTGACATCACTGCCCAGCAGCTCGTCGATAAGCGCGGCCTCGAGAAGCACGAATGGGCCCGCACAGGCCGCATGGCCCTCTACGGCGGTGGTAAGCTCCACCTCACCTCACCTGCGCCCAGAGAACTCACACGCGACGATGCCTTCGTCACCGACCTGAGCACTGGCCGATGAATTCATTTCCACTAACCAGATGAGTCTAGTTATCTTTGGTCCCGTCGCCACAACCTGGTTCAAGTTCTTGCAGAACAACATTGTTCTCAAGAACAAGAACGCCGAAATGCTCGCCCGTGTTGCCGTTGACCAGGGTGTTTTTGCCCCCGTCATGATCAGCGTCTTCCTGTCCTCCATGGCCACGCTCGAGGGCGGCTCTATCAAGGAGAAGCTCGACAAGAACTACAAGACTGCGCTCACGTCCAACTACATGCTCTGGCCGTTCGTCCAGGTAGTGAACTTCAAGTTCGTGCCGCTTCACCACCGTGTGCTCTTTGTCAACGTCATCAGCATTGGCTGGAACTCGTACCTCAGTTTCTTGAACAGCCAATAGATGGCTATTGGGGACTGGGTAGTAAGATGAGCTTGAAGTGGTTACCGCCAATTGAGGGAAGCAGTCTAGAGGATGGCTCGGGGGAACTGAGAATTCGCTGTGATTCCAGCGTCGTATAGCGATTTATGGCTTCAGATTTTGAGCATTAGAAGCAGGATAGACGAGATTGAAGTGATCAAAAAACGGTCATGGGCAGGGCCAATGGGAACATACTGCGCCATTCTTATTCTATCTCAACGTGAAGAGTTGCCTCAAAGCATGATGATAGGCCTGCCATTGTTGCCCGTTAAGAAGCGAATGTTCCTGCTGGTTCAGATCGACTAAGGTATACAGTAGAACAGTCACATTGGGAAACAGAGTGTGACGTATTTACGTTGAACAATAACAGAGGTATTGCCGTGGTTCAAAGACGGCCACAAGCTCAGCCCTGCCAATGAGCGATGGATGCGGGGAAGATGAGGAGTCTCAAGTTTCCTACGCTGTAATTTATACTCGTTCATCTCTTCTTAGTACTCATATGTGTCGGCAACCATATATCTGACTGGATCCTCATTGCATGACAACCAAGTGGAAACACTTAGCTCATAGTTCCGCGTTTGCTATCTGGCATCGCACCACTCGCAGCAATAGATAACTGAGCTACTACCGTCCCCTCATTCTCCCCACCCTTAACCGGGATCCTTCGGCGACGGAGTCGGCCGCTGCAACGTTGCAAGTCAATCTGGCGCCGAACGTCTGAAAAGCATCTGAAAGTGTTGTCGTAAAGTGACAAAATTGAGATAAAGGTCTTCTTGAGACAAGGCATTCGAAGCAATTCCCTCCAGCTCGAAGGCACCCGATCAAAGACACTCACGCAAAGATGACCGCCTCCGGCCTGCTTGATCGCCTCAACCGAGACGGCTTCGTCGTCATCCCTTCAATCCTCACCGAAGACCAACTCAAAGACCTCCGAAGTGCGACTCAAAACGCTACAGCACTGGCCCGCGCCGGAAAATGGCCAAACGTGCGGACGCTGCCCAAGCAGTTCCCGCCGTGGCCGGTCGCCACCCCGGAAGCGCCCCCGGACGGCATCTGGGGCGTCCAGGGGATGATGCACCCCGACATGCCCAATAACGCCGCATTCATCAAGACGTACTTTTCGGATGCCGTGATTGAGCCTACGAAACAGCTGCTGCAGTGCACCGATGACGATCTGGTCATGGAGCTGTTCAATTTGCTCATACGGCCTGATGAGGACTTTGAGCTGCGGTGGCATAGAGATGATATCCCCGCTACTGCTACCGCCGAAGAGGAGCTCGATCGGCTCAATAAGCCGGCTTATTCTGCGCAGTGGAACCTGGCTCTCTACGATGACAATAGTCTCATCGTTGTCCCGGGCTCGCATACTAGGGCTAGGACAGACATAGAGCGCAACGCGGATCCTTATGAAAAGGAGATTCCCGAGCAGTTATACGTGGAACTCAAGGCGGGCGATATTGTCTTTTACAACAACAATATCCTGCACCGCGGTGCATACGTCGCGAATAAAGAACGCATGACACTGCATGGGAGTGCGGGACATGTCAACGGGAGCACCCTCCGAGCCCGCAATGTATTGCAACACGGACTCAAGGGCTGGGTGGATAAAGTCGATCTGGGCGTCTTGGACGAGAAGGAGAGGGCGAGGGCTGAGAACATGCGGAGAATGCTGGTTAAGCTGGGCGAGGAAGCGGGGGAAGTGGGATATTCTCTCGAGGGGTAGTGAGATAAGGCCGTTATGGATCTTGTTACCAAAGACAATCGAATGCATGCGCGAGTTTACTTCCAAGGACAAGAAGTCTTGGGTGATTTTGTTCTGGACCAGTCGAGCGGTGTGTAACAGGCCGGGCGGTGAATTGGGCGAGTTCGACCGGACTCTGCCCGGGTCATGTGTGGTGGGCGCTTAGCTATGTGTACCCGTGACGGGGCGGAGTGAATCAGACTGGAATCCCATCTCGATGATAATTAAGAGGCGCTACCGGCGTTTTATCGCTCTGAGGCCCCAAGCAACGTCATTTCTCAAAAAAGAATAACAATACGCCAACTGACACTTCCTGCACTGAAAGGTTGTTTCATCTCAAGTTTCCGTCTTCCATCTCGAAAGCTCTGGGGGAAGGAGTGTCAGTGGTCTGTGCACGTTCGGATGCCTAAGTAACAAGGTGTCTGTGGAACCGTGAGCTTTTCCCGTCCTGCGGCCAAATCCGGGTTTGCCAACCATCAACCGACTCTGTCGGCAACATCTGCATCAGCCTCAACCACCTCCAAAACCACCCCTCCTCCTCCTCGAACCCGTCCAGATCAAACATCCCAAGATCTGCACCCGGCGACAATGTTGCCCTCATCGGTGCGGCGCGTGGTCGCCTCGGCGCCGCAGTCCCCCCTCGTCGCCTCCCTCACCACCTCCGCTCCGAGAGCGGCTACGGCCACCATCACCCTTCAGCAGAGACCCGTCGGTGGCCACCAGAGACGATGGTCCTCCTCGAGCCCCTCGAACCCGAATAACAACGGATCCAAGGACATTCCTGCCCAGGGCCAGTCCGTCCATGCCTCGACATCATCGAGCTCCAGCAGCAGCGGCAAGGCCAACGGCGAGAAGCGGAAACGAAAGAGCAAGGACAGCGCCGATAGGGAGGCTGTGCAGAAGCTGCCCAGCGTGCCCAGCACACAACATCTTTCCCAAGAAGGTGTGTAGTCATGCGGAAGTCGAGTCTTGTGGAAGAAATGCTAACTGAACCATGCGCAGCTCTCGGCTTGTCAACCTTTTTCTCGCTGCACCGGCCGATATCTGTGACCCACAGCATGCCCAAGTCAGTGACGGAAGAAGCCTTCGCCGCCATCTTCAAGCCCCGGAGCAGGGCGAACAAGGTCACCGACGTCATCTCAACACTATCGCGGACGACCGACGACCTCGAGGGCGCCATGGCCAAGATGACCATCGGCCACCAGGAGACGGATGCGTCAGGCGAGCCCGTCCAAAAGATCGACTTCAAGAACCCCGACGGCACTGAGTCGAGCGTCTACGTCCAGCTCAACAGCATGGCCGGCCAGTTCGTCCCCTTCCGCCCTCCCCCGGCCCCCGAGGCCATGGGCGAGACCGCCGACGCCGCGACATCCCACGCCGCCGCCGCCGAGTCCGCCGTCGAGGACCTCCTCGACGATACCCCTCACCACCGCGTCTACAAGGCCATGTTCACCATCGAGGAGACGACCGACGCCGACGGCCAGGTCCAGGTCCTCGCCCACAGCCCCAAGATCATGCAGGACGGCGGCGACGCGCCCCGCTCGTTCCTCGAGCGCATGGCCCTGCGCCAGATGAAGTTTGACGAGGCGCAAGGCCACGATACCATGCACGCCCTCAGCGTCAAGCGCCAACGCAAGCTCAAGATGAAGAAGAAGAAGTACAAGAAGCTGATGAAGCGCACGCGCAACCTGCGCCGCAAGCTGGACAGAATCTAAGCTCGGATTTGGGGGGGTCGGTTGTTTGGTTTGTATATAAAACAAGCAAAGCCCCGTCGGTCTCTTATTTTCTCACATCCTTGTGTTTTTTTTCCCCTTTGGACTCGGCTTCTCCCACTCGAGCATATCTGGGAAAGACGCGGGTGTTATTTCCTCCTCACAATTGGTGTTCTCGGCCGGGGCATTCATCGCTGATGGTATTTCATCTCCTTTTCGCGACTGTGCACACATTTCTCGGGCTTCATATAGAGAAGAGAGGGGATAGCTTTGCATCAGATAGCAATCATCCAACTGTTTGCATCCAGAGCAATCACTCATGACCGTGCCGCGATACCTACTGAGAGCGAGAAAGATGTAAGAATCAGGGACGCTAGAAATAAGAAGAAGGAAAAGACAGACAGAGAGATATCATGTACAACAAAAAAGTGTATTACTAGTTCCATCAAACGGAAATAACTCAAGGCCTTCACAGCCCGTTTTAAAATCGTCTACCATACCTATTCTACAGTATTCGTACACCAAACCATTTTCTGAGTGACTGGGAGGCCGTTGATTTTTAAAGATCGTCCGAGGGGGGGTGTGGCGTTCCGCCACGGGCGTGGCCATAACGAAAAAGTTGCGGCACCCCACCAAGACGCACCCACCTCGAAAGCCCACCGCCCGGCAGAAAATGTTCTCTCCGCCAAATTTTTGGGAATTTCCTCGACGTCTAGGAGCTGGTTTGCGCCGACCCGACTTCTCAGCAAGCCCGCCTTCTGCCAATTTTCCGCCTTCACTCCCCCTCGTCCCTCCTCCCCTGCGAGCTCTGTTCAAGATGTCGCGCAAGGCAGTGTGAGTTCTCGTTATGATATGAACCCCTACATGTATTTAATTGCTGACTTTAATCCAATACAGAGACCAGCGGATCCCGAGTCTCATTAGCAATGGGTACCAAGAGAAGAAGCGCAGCTTCTTCGTGGTGGTCGGTGACCACTCCAAGGATGTCATTGTCAACCTCCACTACTTGATGGCTAGAAACATCAAGCAGAACAAGTCTGTGTTGTGGGCGTACAAGACCAAGCTCTTGGGCTTCACGAGGTGCGTCTTCCGGCTCGAGCAGGGCTCACTTACACAGCAGACACGGAGAAGCTAACATGCCGACCTCTTCCTCGAAATCCAGTCACCGAAAGAAGCGCGAGAACAAGATCAAGAAGGAAATCAAGCGCGGCACCCGCGAAGCCAACGACTCCGACCCCTTCGAGCTCTTTGTGTCCCTCCACAACATCCGCTACGTCTACTACAAGGAGACGGAAAAGGTCCTCGGACAGACGTTCGGCATGTGCATCCTGCAAGACTTTGAGGCCATGACGCCAAACATCCTCGCGAGGACGATCGAGACAGTCGAGGGCGGCGGCCTGGTGGTCCTCCTGCTCAAGGGCATGTCCTCGCTCAAGCAGCTCTACACAATGTCCATGGACATCCACTCGCGCTACCGCACCGAGGCGCACGACGACGTCGTCGCCCGCTTCAACGAGCGCTTCATCCTCTCCCTGGGCGGCTGCGACTCGTGCCTCGTCATCGACGACGAGATGAACGTCCTGCCCATCTCGGGCGGCAAGGGCGTCGTAAAGCTCCCGCCCACCGACAAGGACCTCAACAAGACCGAGGCAGAGCAGGAGCTCGAGGACATGAAGGAGTCGTTGCAAGATACCCAACCAGTCGGCTCCCTGGTTACCCTCGCCAAGACGACCGACCAGGCCAAGGCGCTGCTGACGTTTGTCGATGCCATTGCCGAGAAGACTCTTCGGAGCACCGTCACGTTGACGGCCGCCAGAGGTCGCGGAAAGTCGGCGGCCATGGGTGTCGCTGTTGCGGCTGCTGTCGCGCACGGGTACAGCAACATCTTCATCACATCTCCGTCCCCGGAGAACTTGAAGACGCTGTTCGAGTTCGTCTTCAAGGGATTCGATGCGCTCGGATACGCCGATCACGCCGACTACTCCATCATTCAGTCCACGAACCCCGACTTCAACAAGGCTATTGTCAGAGTCAACATCCACCGGGCGCATCGCCAGACAATTCAGTACATCAGACCTCAGGATGCCCACGTTCTCGGACAGGCGGAGTTGGTCGTCATCGATGAGGCTGCCGCTATTCCCCTGCCTTTGGTGCGCAAGCTCATGGGCCCTTACCTGGTCTTCATGGCCTCCACGATCAACGGTTACGAGGGTACCGGTCGCTCGCTGTCGCTGAAGTTGATCAAGCAGCTCAGAGAGCAGTCAAGACCTGGAGCCAAGACCGGTGAGGACACAGAGGTTGCCGACAGGACGACGGGCAGAGCCTCCAAGGATCAGGGCTCGAGCCAGTCCAGCCGGTCCCTCCGCGAGATCACCCTGTCTGAGCCCATCAGATACGCCCAAGGCGACTCGGTCGAGAAGTGGCTGAACAAGCTTCTCTGCCTTGATGCCACCCTCCCCAAGGCAAAGGCCAGCGCTCAGGGGTGCCCCGACCCTTCGCAGTGCGAGCTGCTCAAGGTCAACAGAGATACCCTCTTCTCCTTCCACCCCATCCCTGAGAAGTTCTTGCAGCAGATGGTTGCCCTCTACGTCGCCAGTCACTACAAGAACTCTCCTGATGATCTCCAGCTGATGAGTGACGCCCCCGCCCACGAGCTCTACGTCCTCATCGCCCCGACATCAGACGGCAAGCTGCCTGAGCCCCTGTGTGTGATCCAGGTCGCACTGGAAGGAAAGATTAGCAGACAAAGCGTCATCAACCAGTTGAGCAGAGGACAGCGCCCCTCCGGTGACTTGATCCCCTGGCTCGTGAGCCAGCAGTACCAGGACGACGAGTTCGCCTCCCTCTCCGGCGCCCGTGTCGTGAGGATAGCGACGAACCCAGAGTACGTGTCCATGGGATACGGCACCAAGGCCCTGCAGCTCCTGACCGACTTTTACGAGCAAAAGTTCACCAACCTCTCCGAGGACGCCGACCTCGCCATGGAGGAGACCCTTCCCAGAGTTACGGACGCCGAGCTGTCAAATACCTCTTTGCTCGCGGACGACGTTCACATCAGAGATATCAAGAAGCTGCCGCCGCTGTTTGCGAGATTCTCCGAGATTAGACCCGCTGCCCTGGACTACGTCGGTGTCAGCTATGGCTTGACGCAGCCACTCCACAAGTTCTGGAAGCGCGCCTCATTTGCGCCCGTTTACCTCCGGCAGACGGCCAACGACCTGACGGGCGAGCACACGTGCGTCATGATTCGGCCTCTGGAGAACACCGGCGCCGACCGGTCATGGCTTGGTGCCTTCTCCCGGGACTTCCAGCGTCGTTTCCAGTCTCTGCTGTCGTACCAGTTCAGGGAGTTCCAGTCAGTCGTTGCGCTGAGCATCGACGAGTCTGCCAGCATTGGCGCCAAGCTCGACGGCACTGAACCCACGGCCCTGACAAAGGTGGAGCTCGACAGATTCCTGACGCCATTCGACTTGAAGCGTCTCGAGTCGTACGCCAACAACATGCTGGACTACCACGTCATCCTTGATCTCGTTCCCACACTCGCTGGCCTGTACTTCACTGGCAAGCTCAAGGGCGACATCAAGTTGACTGGTGTCCAGCAGGCCATCCTGCTCGCCATCGGTCTGCAGAGGAAGGATATGGACGTCATCTCCACTGAGCTGTCCCTGCCGTCATCGCAGCTGCTGGCCATGTTTATCAAGATCCTTCGCAAGATCACAACGCACTTTGGATCCCTAGTCAACGCCGCCGTTGAGGCTGAGCTGCCTAGCAATAACACCATTGGTGTCAGCCGGGAGAACGCTTCTGGGGTACATGACGATGAGGTCGTCGACAAGAAGTTTGTTCCCCTCGAGACATCTCTCGAGGACGAGCTTGAGGAGGGAGGCGACGAGGCTCTTGCTAAGCTTCGCAGGAAGCAGCGCGAACTGATCGACTCCCTACCACTTGACCAGTAAGACCCATTTTCTTCAATGCGTACCTTTGAGAGCACTTTACTGACTACAACTCCCAGGTATGAGGTTGACGGTGACGCCCCCGCCTGGGCCGAAGCCGAGCAGGCCGTCAAGGACGGCAAGACTGGCGTGGTCAGCGTGAAGTCGGCCAAGTCGAAGCGCAAGGCCGGCCCTACGGCAGCCGAGATTTACGACGAGGCTCTTGGGGAGAAGAAGCACAAGAAGGCGAAGAAGTCCAAGAAAGACAGGGACTACGTAAAGATACAGGTAGGAGGGGAATAAGTGACAGAGGAGGCATAAACAAAAGTGTAAAAGCATCTTTACTTACAGGGTGAAACGGGTATTTGTCCTTACTTGGGCGGCCTCTATGCGGAGTTGGCTTGGCTTTGTTTTGTTAACAATTTTAAGAAATTCTGAACTTCTTGTTTCAAGCAAAAATGGACAGTGATGTCCTCCTCTTTCCGGGTGGAAGTGTTCAGAGACTGGACGACATCTTAGATCAAGTGACTGGCCGGTCAGTCGTGATGATCCGGCTCTGATGTGATTCTTGTGATTTCAAAGAAGGAAGGGACGAAGATGATGGAAGACATAGACACCTTCCCTTCCTCTGCCCTCCTTCCATCTTCAACATCAAGGTCGCTCTTTCCTGCGTTGTCTGCTGCTCTTCCTCTTCTCAGAGAAGGTACCTTCCACCTCGACAAACTCGTGGCAGCCACCTATTGTCATCTGACGACAACACCTCGACGATTCCCATTCTCACCATTTCAAGGCTTCGACCGGAAATTGCTTCCTCCTTTTCCATACCCTCGAGACCGTAAATACACCACTCGCCTGCTCTTTTCCCCGCCGTACAATTAATACATCTCACCGAAGCACCAGGTCGCAGGTCACCCACACCGTCTCTCGCCATCACAACCCCCCAAACTCGAACCGAGAAACAATGTGTACCGAAACCATCGCCCTCTGCGAAAGCTGCGGCCTCCACAGACACATGCACTACCACCGCTGCACAGCCTGGCTCTGGTCCTACCGCCAAATCAAATGGACCTTCACCACCCCTCTCTCCTCGACCCCGAAACCCAAGAATTGCCCCTTCCTCGACGGCGAGGTCAAGACCGAGATCCTCCCGGGCAGGTGTCCCAACGCGGCGTGCCCGGGCCACAAGCTCAAAGATGCCCTCGACTTACAGGCAGCCGCGGACGGGAAATTGGACAGAAGAACGGACGAGCAGAAGATTGACGCGCAGAGGATCAAGATGGGGCTTAAGAGGCGACCTGGGCCGGTGCAGGCGTTCCGGGAGCCGTTGGAGGTCGGGAGGCCGCATCAGAATCGGGTGCCGGTTGTGATTACGGATGGGAGGCCCGATGAGGGACTGGGAGTTGTGAGAGGACGGGGGAAGCGGGTAGAGGGGATGGGGATGGCGGAGATGGAGACGGAGGGTGAGGGGGCTATGGCTGTTCCGTCGCCTGGTCCGGCTGCGAGGGTGCCTGTGAGGAGACATAGGACGTTCCATGGTCCGATGATGAGGCCGCATTGATGGGTGTTGTTGAGACACATGGCGGGCTCATCGATTTGACGGCACGATACTACGAATTACGAGGGATGGGAAATGAATGATGACCAAACGGACTGGGGAGGGACTGATAACGGGGACTGATAATGGGAGGAAGCGTCTATACTATAGCGCTGATCGGAAGAGTTTCTCTTCGCTTTAATAATGAGCGCCGATTTCTCAAGATCATGAGGTTCTCCCAAAGGTGTGAAAGGTGTTGATGGAGTCGTGATATCGTGAAGACGGTCGTCGCCGCACATCAACCGAATTGTCCAATCACAGCCATGGCCACCGCTAAGAATGTTTCTAACTACTCGATAAGTTGGTTCCTGCATCGCGGCAAACCGGCAAGTCAAGTCCGTAAGCCCAGGCCCCAAACAGCGCGAATCAAAGCCTGTTTTCATCGCCCGCTTCCCCCCCTGAACTTTGTATTTTGGAGAAGCCAATCTTGGGCAGTGGGGTTCATTCCCCCTGTCGACGGTTGACCATCCACTGAGAAGCTCGAAGGATTCACGTCTGGCCTCCGCGCGACCTGGGGGATCAACCAACTTTTTTATGCTAAAATCCCGCCCCGTTCGTCCCATTTGTGGTTCCTGTGTAAACATTGGACCATTCCCCGTCCTGTCATCCTGTCTCGTCTTCCTTCTCGGTTGTCAACTCAACACCTCTCTCCCACACGTTGAGTCGTTGAATCCATTCATTTGGACGAGAGTTTAGGATTGTCAATTGACTCTCTGTCTCTTCCTTGACGACTAGACATCACCTTCGTTTCTGAGCTCTGACGAAACTCCACGCGCTCGATTGCTTGAACCCACCGGAATCGAACCACTCGCTCGTCCCTTAAAGCTCGTGAAGCTCTCACCAACTCTCGATCCACCAACCTCTCTCCCAAACCCTCAACATGCACACGTCCAACCTCGCCCCGGTGGCCTTCGCTGCCTTCTCCCTCCTCCTCAATCCCGTCGCCGCCATCCCCGCTCCCGTCCCCGTTCCCGTCGCCGCCCCCGAGCCAACCCTCGTCGCCCGCGCCGATGTCATCGCTCCCACCGCCGCCTGGATCAGCGTCAACAACAAGGGCGTCCCCACGACCGTCACCCCCGTCCCGACCACAATTTCCGGCACGGCCACCTACGCCTCCGCCGCCCCCAACGCCTTGACGGGCAGCGTCTTCACCCTGACCGACTGGCACCTCGTCAAGGTCACCACCAGCACGGGCACCCCGCCCGTCGCCACGGCCGACAGCAAGAGCGGCGCGGGGGCCTTTGCGCCGTGTAGTAATACCAAGGGGGACTTTTCGCCCTTCTGCGATCCGAATAAGGGGAGCACGCTTTACACCGATGGGACGTACTATGGTAAGTCACATATCGACTTCTGAAACTCGCCTCTCCCTGTACAGGTGATGAAAGTAGTATATCGAATATCAAACTGACCATCCCATCTTCCAGTAACCTGGGACCCCACCGTCCTCATCAAAGGCAACAAAACCAACGTCAACGTAAAAATCCAAGGCAAATCCGTAAACGGCACAACGGTAGGCGACATCGTCCTCAACGCCGACACAGACACCACGAACCCGGCCTCCTACGGCTACTACGCCTGGACCGTCTCCTCCAGCCTCATCCCCTCAGGCCAAGACAACGCCACAATCGAGCTCCTCATGTCCTACACCGTCGACGGCACCGCGCAGGACGCCATCACCGGCCCGCAGGTCCTCGTCGCCAAGCGGCCAGAGTGGCACCCCGAGGCCGCGAAGATGCCCAAGGGCGCGGAGCTGTACATCGCTCTCCCCACCGTGTTTGGGTTCATCATCATTTGCGTCATTGGCGGGTGTATCTGGAACCGGCGGACGCGCAAGATCGGGCTGGGGAACATTATGAGCCGGTCGAGACACGGGTACGGTGTCGGTAAGTCGCGGGCGCAGAGGCTGGGGGCCAAGGTTAGGCAGAGCGTGTTCCATGGCGGGCGCAAGGATCGCGGGATTCAGTTGAGGCAGCGGGAGATTAGCCCCGATGGGTATGTGTACCGCGACGAGCCGCTGCCTGATCAGCAGCAGAGGCAGCATACTGGCGGACTCAACACCAATGGTGGCGGTGGTCTCGGTCATGCGAGGAGGGATAGCGATGCCCTGGGAAGTCTTGCGGGAAGCCCGGTTTCGGCTACGTTCCCGCACCATGAGCCCCAGGGTGGTAATGCTTTCCGGGAGGAGATGAGGAGGCAGGAGAGGGAGAGGTACTGAGAGGGACCATGAACTTTCAGAGGCATGCCATTTGGTGTGCTGCCGACAGGAAGCTGTGTTGTCCGGCGAGGCTACCACAGAGGGTAGGTAGTAGGCGATGACGGAAAACATGAGAATAAGTGTCACGATATAGACGACGCAAGATTCAGAGATGAGCTGATTTGGAGCTCATCTTCGACGTAATATGTAACAATAATGAAACTCATGAAGAACCTCAAGGCCAGTGACTTGATCCAGTAAGATTGTGACCGGTGTCGTGATGTGCTATATTGCTACTAGGGAAGTACAATCAGCCTATGTAGTCAACCGCCTGAGGAGGGGACCGGTGAAAGACATCATAGAGTCACTCTTTCACGTCTAGCAGTCTTGCAACAAATGTCTTCTTTTTTCCAAGCCATGAGATGAAGGTTCTTTTCGAAGCAAAGCTCGAGCTTTCATACATTCCTAAGCCCTACTGAATGTTCAAACGAAGGGCACGATAGGGTCGCACATTCACATCTAGCAGTCTTGTAACATACATCTTTTTTCTTTCATCTCAGGTTGTAAAGCGGACGTTCAATTCTAGGCCAAGTTCGATTCTCTATCCTCTCCTTATCCTTACACTCGGGCGCTATCGCTAGAGATAGCGCTAATAACGAGGACTCCAAGAATGCCCACATCATGCCTTTTTCCTTTATCTCATCACTGCCCATATCTCACATACGCCGTATGGAATATGTTAAAGATAGTAACTATTGTTAGAACCTGCTAGTACCACAAGCATCGTCTTTGGTCTAGAGGTACAGGCATCTTTAGTTGCAAAGGAACCGGGCTGTTATTGAATCGTCAGTGACACAAACGTCAGTCACGGGAATCAGCCAGTACCTTGGCATCCAGGGATGTGGTCTGTCTTGCTTGAGTTCAGAGGTACGCCCTGGATATCTTAGTCTTTATAGGAATCCGTCGTTATTAAGCACATCGTCAGTTACGAATACGTCAGTAACGGAAAATAATCAGTATCTCGGGATCCTATCCGCATAAACCACTTTCTCGTTGTCTCAATTGCTTGGTTCAAAAGCATGAGCATCTTGATTATCTGAGGCAGGGGAACCACTGGCCGCATCCATGTGTGTCACGCGCACGCAGGTTCAGTACGACCGCTGGTCCTGCTGTAGGTCATACTCTCGGATCCATATTTTATAGCTATTACAGCGTTATCTTGGTACCTGGAGATTGAGGATGGGCTCCTATCCAAGTAGACTGTCTTCATCTTATCCTACTTACTTCGAAAGCAGAGGCCCTTAATCCCTATAGGAGCTACCCCGTCGTCGTCACATATATAATTAGTGACGAATACGTCAGTCACGGGAAACGGTCGGTAGTACCTTGATATCCAGGGATCTTGGCTATGGGCTCTCGTCCGAACGAGCTGCTTCAATCTTGATCCAGAAACATATTCATCCTGATTTTATGAGGTAGGATCACAGAACCATTAGCCTCACCCTATGTGCATCACTCGCACATGTGTGGGTGCTACCGCTAACCTTGCTCCCATCTCAATATTTTATAGTCGTTGCGGCGTTGTCTTTGAGACCGGTCAGGAAGACAAAAAGGCATTCTGCTGAAGATCCCGATAAAGCAGGCCCTCAGACCACGTCTCCCTCAACCTCCTTCGTATCACTTCTAAAACAACTGGACAGGCGGGCGAATGAGAGGTCATATCAGCATGTGAATTCGTAAGGTTTAATGACGCCGTCGCTACTGAACTGAGACCTCCCGATGTCTCCATGCAATTCTGGTCGTCCGATGGGTCCCCATTTACTCCCTTGATACCATCAGAAGCTGTGCAGGTGCCAGCACTTTACTTCTTGCCAGAGCTACCGGAGCTTCCACTGCCATAGCTGGACGAGCTTCTCTCGCCGCCGGGAGAGGTGTAGGTTGAGCCGCCGTTGCCATCGTTGTAGTAGGTGCTGCCGTTGGGGTTGGAGTAGTAGTAGGATCCGTCACTTGAGATGTGCTGGTCAGCTTTCTTTCCTTGATATCTCAAATAGGAAAGGGCAAGACGAGAGATACTGGTTGGAGCACTGAAAATCGGGGGGAAAAAGCCCCCTCAGACAAGCGATCGTCAACCGGGCAAGGAGGAGGAGCAGCAAGTCGGACTCACGTGTTAGAGTAGTGGTACGAGTTGGAGTTGGAAGCACTGCTACCGTAGTCACGCGCGCAGTAGTGGTTGCCCTGGGTTTGCCGGTCGATATGTCAGTCATGCACATCTCCAGCTTGAAGCTCTTTGCAGCTTCGGGAGTGAGGAATTGATCAGTACCTCGCTGTTGGTGCCGGAGCTCTTGTAATCGTAACCTTGTCCGCTCATCTTGGCTGTTTGCTTGTCGGTCTTGACACGGAAGTGGTTGATTGGGATGGTTCTGTATGCGTGGTATCGGAGGAGGGTTGTAGAGAGATGAAGAAGAGAGGATGTAAGGGTGAGGCCACCGGGAGTTTATGGGAGATTAAATAAGGTAGGCAGGTAGGTACCCAGGCAAAACACCTTGTATGATCACGCAAGGTCTGTGTATGCTTTTCCGCCCCGCACGGATTGATTGTTAGCGGGCAGAGACAACTGGGAAGCTACTTACCTACCTTAATTCATCATACTTTGTGTGTTGCTTGTGGCTTGCCAGAAGTTCTCATGTGCCTTCCCGCGGGACCCATGTCAAAGCTCCAAAGTCAAGTCAGGCAAGGACATGTGATTGCATCGTTTCCCCTTCTTATTGCCCGTTATGCGCATACCTAACCACAACCAAGTTTGTAGCGTAAAGAAGCAGCGACGAAGGGCAGCACGATGTTGGTATATTGCTTTTCCCCGACAAGATAAGCGTTTGTCCACTTTCCCCCGCTGCCAGCCAAGCTGCCACTTTTGGTGACCTGGTCTGGGATCATCCTGGTCCTTGTCGATGCTTGGGTGGATCTCATATCAAATAGGCAAACATCTTAGTTGACAGAAGAGCCTAGTGATCATGTCCAAAGAGACAAAATCAGAGGGACTGCGATTGAGAACTTGGGAATGGCTTCTAGCTTGCAGAGCATATAAGCAGTAGACTACTCCCAGGCGCGTTGTCGATGAATCGATGTGACCGGCAGTCGAGTGGGATGAGAGCCAGAGAACCCCTCACTCGCACAGCTGTCCCCCACGTTTCAGGGATCAGCTTGCATGGAAAAAGCAAATGACATCCCTCAAGCACCAACTCACTTGTTGAACTCACGCGCCTCTCATTCCTACACTTCCGAACCGAAACCAGATTTCATATGCTACCGCATCTCGCTACAGGTATCCCAATTGCGCGTAAACCCCTAAACAACATAGTACCCATCCCATTAGAGGCAAAGAAGAAAGAGTCCAGCATCCCAATTCCAATAAATATAATCACCTAATCGCTCCGTCGTCACGCATTACAATGTCTCCCTTGTCGTTATTTCATTCCAACACTTGAACCAAGTCAGTCACAAGGCACGCAAGGTGCGGAGTAAACACCCCAACGCAAGGTAAGGTTCCCTCAAAGCTTACTTTTTACCGTACCCGGAGCATGTTCGGTATCCGCTAGCCGAGGTGTACGGTGAACCGCCGTTGCCGTCGTTTTGATACCTCTCACTCTTGGGGGTTGAGTTGTGGATTGAGCCGCTTCTATCCATCGTTTAGCAGGATTCCGTCAGTCTTTCGGTTTTTGGCCCCCTCTCACGCCCCGCGCAAAACGTACATCCCCAGATCTTGAATCGAAGACTGGGTGAGGATGGTCAACAGTAAGAATGATTGACACTCACGCGCTGGGATACTGATATGAGTTCGGGTTCGCAGAGCTGCTGCTGCTGCTGTTTCCGTAGTCGCGAGCGCAGGAGTAGTTACCCTATTTATCCCCCCCGCAGTGAGTATTTTGCTACTTTCACGAGAACCTCGGATTGGCTTTGGATTCTCAAATTACCTGGCTGTTGCTCTTGTACGAATACCCCTTACTGCTTGGCATATTGTCGATCTTGGGTAGAAGGGTGAGCGGTGGGTTCTGTTACTTATTTTCCGAATGCTTCTGAGTTGGAGTTGGGCCGGGGAAGAGGAAGATGTCGTCGGGCCTTGGTTTTCTGTTTTCGCTTTTGACACAAAGTGGAGATGGGAAGAAGAAGACGAAGAAGGCGAACTTAAGTATAAGAAGAAACTCTCACTCTCTCTCCAGTTCACGGCACATGGTACGAGATACAGATCAAGGTACATAATGGGCTGATCATGGGCGATGCGTGGTTTGAAACGCCTGCGCTACTTCACCTTACCCCGCCCCACGGGAGCTCATTGGAGAAAGCCCATAGTGAGACTTTTTTTTACTCTCTAATAATTCCCGTGCCTTTACGAGTCGGGTCCATTGACAAGTTTGGATGGATGGATGGTGGGATGGGGGTGGGAACGGACGATGCGGCAAAAAAAGGACCAACGAGTGGATGAAAAGGAATGCTTTGGGCAAGGCGTCAAGCGTTCGAGCCGCATACCGCATGGTTCCTCGTGGGTCGAGCGAGGCAACACGCATGCGCTGGCAAACGGAACTGTCTCTGCATCGTTTCTTTGGGCGCTGGATTTTCTGGGGCATTAGGTATCGGTAGGACCAGTCGTTAGGTATTTTAAGCTTCATGTGGGGGGTCGGTGGGCTTGAAGCCTTGGGGGAGTGGTGAGTTGGAGGAGTCTGCTCTCTGCATGAGCAGACTCTTTGGATGAGAAGGAGTCCGAGATGTGGAGGGGGGCGAAGGGATGACTTGGATTCTGCAGCGAAGATTACTCGAGTTAGGTACTAGGCAGGGGAAAACACGGGGGTACCTGAGCTCAGGAAGCTTCATAGAAACTTGGGACGACACAAGACCTCATTCGCACTCCTCGATTTTTGAAGAGGGAAACAGCGGCTCTTTGAATAATAACGTTGCCTCCACGCTGACGTCTTAGCTCGGGGTGGTAGTGTAACAAATATCAAGGAACAGGAAAGGCATTAAGAGAGAGCAGCTGTGACCGCAAGGAGTGCAGATCCGGGAAAGCCCGGCCATAAGTAGGGGACCGACGGACGCGGTCAGGGGCATATATCTCCGAGATCTGCTTCGGTCGACTCGGATCTGACTCCGAGGCGATGGGAGAATACCACCCTTTTTGGTCTTCAGTGGTTTTAATACGCTTGAATTCAAAAGTCTATTTTTTCGGTGCTTTTTGCCGGCATATCTAGTCTAGAGGCTCTTCTATATCATTATGCGGCTCACAAAACAGCCCATTCACGACTCTGCTTTTTTTTCTTTCTGAATTTAGAGGTGATGATCTAGTCAGTTGGAAGGGTCCTTGGGGTCGCCGTCCTCGAGCTCGGCGAGGTACTTCTCGGCGTCCATGGCAGCCATGCAGCCGGTACCGGCACTGGTGATGGCCTGTCTGTATCTCTTGTCCTGGACGTCACCGGCGGCGAAGACACCCTCGATGTTGGTCAGCGGCGTGCCAGGCTTGGTGACGACGTAGCCCTCCTCGTCGGTCTCGAGCTGTCCCTTGACGAGCGAGGTCGCGGGCTCGTGGCCGATGGCGTAGAAGAGACCGTTGGCCTCGAGCGTCTCCTCTTCGCCCGTGACGGTGTCCTTGACGACGAGGTGGCTCATGAGGCCGTCGTCGCCGCCCTTGATCTCCTTGCCGGCCGAGTTCCAGCGGATCGTCACCTTCTCGTGGCCCTTGAGGCGCTTGGCCATGATCTGCGAGGCGCGGAGGACGTCGCGGCGGACGAGGACGGTGACGTGGGAGCCGTACTTTGTGAGGTAGAGGGCCTCCTCGGCGGCCGAGTCGCCGCCGCCAATGACGACGAGGTGCTTGCCCCGGAAGATGGGGACGGCGCCGTCGCAGACGGCGCAGGCGGAGACGCCGTTTTGCCAGTACTTCTCCTCGCCGGGGAGGTTCAGGCGCTTGGCGGAGGCGCCGGTGGCGAGGATGACGGCGTCGGCGGTGTGGGTGGTCTCGGGCTCGAACTCGGTCGAGTACTTGAAGGGGCGGGAGGAGAGGTCGAGGTTGGCGACGGTGTCGGAGATGATTGTGGTGCCGAAGCGCTCGGACTGGGCCTTCATGTTGTCCATGAGCTCGCCGCCCATGATGCCCTTGGGGAAACCGGGGAAGTTCTCGACGTCGGTGGTGGTGGTGAGCTGACCGCCGGCGGCGATGCCGTTGGCCATGAAGCCCTCGTAAAGGACGGCTGGAAGGGGAAAAGTATCGTCAGTGGGATGGTCTTGGAGTAGGGGGAACGAGAGGAAGTGGGAAGTGGCTTACGCTTCAGCTCGGCGCGCGCCAGGTAGACGGCGGCGGTGTGGGCAGCAGGCCCAGAGCCAATGACTGTGGCATGAGGTTAGCAAAGGCAAATTGCAACATTTGAAGCCATCGCGGCTCGATCATGTTTGAGAAGCATGTTTGTCTGTGCTGGTCTGCAGGAGGGGCGACAACGCAGGAGCGGAGAGTCGTGACATACTGACAACCTTGCTGTGCATTTTGCGGGCACTTGACTTTAAATCAACAGGGTTCGTAGAGTTCTTCTTGAGGGACGTGGTGGCTGCGGCAAAGGATAGACCAGTGGCGCTTGAGCGAAGAATTGTTCGTCTAAAGGTTGAAGAGAACAGTTTGGCGGTGATATGCGCGTTCAGGAACACGCACTATCCTCTCCAAGAAATGGCGGGGTATCAGAAAAAGAGAGATATATGTACAGCAAGAGGGGAGGAGGGGGTGCCACAGAGTCACAGTACGCCAGGGGGCGTGTGAGAGGAGGGGTGGAGGGGCAAAACGAAAGGAAGGGGGCAGGAGCAGGACGGCGACGGCAACGGAGTTTGCTTCCAATCAAGGCCTGGAAACTCGTGGACCGCTATCGTGACGGCAGCCCCGGGATGGTAGTGGTAACACGGAGTACAGACAGTGGTTCTGCAGCAACAGCACAGCTAAAGTGATTTCTAATGGTGGTGGCCGGGATCTGGGAGACTGATGCGTTGCGCTGGTGGTGGTGGTGGTGGATTCCAGAATTCCAGAAATTTTTAATCGGGGCCTGCCGCACGATTCAGGGTGCATTTGATAGCGTCTTGTCAGTCGGCCAAGCCAAACCGCATGTGGTCTGGATGCGTGATCGGAGTGCCGTCCTCTGTCGTGACTGCGTGAATTACCTAAGCACCGAGTCGCCGACTCCCCGTTCCGTCGGTAGCCCCCACTTGCCGAGGCTCTTCCGAGTGACGCAACTCGGCTCCGAGCCACAAATCTGCTGCACGGTGTGCCATGTACCTACCTCAGGTACCTCTCTCTTCGTCTTCTCATGAATTGTGGACTGAGATGGTTACCGGTGTCGGGAAGTTTATAATCTACAAGGGTTCTCATGCTGCTGGGAATCTTATCAATCGCATCAGCAATAATTTGGAATTGTTGACGTCAATGGAGCTTCTGCCTCATAAGACCAATGTCTAGATTGGAGCCAAGGCCGTCTTGTTCGGCGATATCTCAATATTCCTTGCGTTCAAGTATCAAAAATTATCGCGCACGCGATCAGAAGGATGAGTCAATATTGAACTATGGATCCTTTCCCTCGAAGACACCTTACTCATTTGCTTCATAACCTCACCCACGTCACATGCTTTTCTTGTTTTTTTTTTTTTTCGCAGCCACGAGTCTTACGTTTCGCAAGTGCGCTTGCTCGGGGATATTTCTGACTTAATAATCACTCAAGCCGAGTGAATTAGAACTACCAAGATCCCTCAACGCATGCTCAACCTCCTCCGAGAACGCGTATTCAATATCTTCTTTCAGATGGTGAAGAGGCTCCTTCACGTCGACTAATTCACATCCATCATTCTGGATATCTTCGAATTTCAGAAACGGCTATTCCAATCTGACCAACAGTTCTGCATTGCGACGAAGAACACTAAGTCAATCAAGGAAACTGCAACTGTAGGCGAACTCTTGGTGACAACCTTTGGTACATCAAATCCAGCCTTGCAATATACTTGCACCTTAAGCAAGCATCACGAGAGCGACCTCAGATCGATGTTTTAACGACATGTCATAAGATTAAAAGTGTATACAGTAAGAGTCGGCTACAAATACGGCGGCCGCTGGATAAATGTCGCTAGTCCGGCCTTTCCCCTACCCAAAGGCCACAGGCACCCATATTCCACGCACTCAATACCCTACGCATCTGGCAGCCCGGAAATTACAACACCGCTAACAAAATCCTTGGCGTGCCCTTGCGTATCCATCTTGCCAGTACCATTCTTCAGGTAACAATACTCCCCCGGCAACTTAATCATAGCAACAGACCGACAATACCCTCCCGCCTTGACATCCCCGCTGGCAAGATTGCTCCCATACGCCTGGTTATGCGCCGCACACAGCGCCATACACTCCTCAAACGTCGAAACATACACCTTGAGGATATCATACAGCGCCGGGTTACCGTATGCCGCGCCCGAGGGGTAATTCACCTCGCAGAGCTGACGGAAGGTCTGCGTCGAGTAGCCGGAGCCGATCTTCATTGCGTTGCCGCCGGCATCGGTGGGCGTGTAGGTCGTCGTGTTGATGCTCGGGCAGCCGCCGTCCGTCGGGGCGGAGCGAATCCCCGTCGGGATCGAACGGGCCGTGGATGAGGTTGCTGTCGAGCTGGAAGATTGGGCGCCTAGGCCTGAGCTTGCGCTTGAGGCTGTAGGCGCTGATTGCGAGCCAACTGTTGCTGAGGCTGTTGAAGACGGATCTCTGTATGGACATTAGATTCAGGCAACTATGGTCTCGTCTTCCTCCTGTGAGTGGAAGAGACAGGTGAACATACACTGACACCGCCGAACTGTTGGCCTTTTGCGCCACCAACCCTCCCGCCACGCCGCCGGCGATACTCCCCGCAAGAACAACTACCAGCGCAATTACCAGGCCCCAGAAGACAGGCACCGTTAGACCGAGAACGCGCCGTCTCTCTGGCGGCGGCGCGTCTGCCGCCGCGGCGGAAGCATACGCCGGGTGATGGGCCTGCGTGATTGTCGTCCACGTCGACTTTTCCAACGGGCTCTGGAACTCGGCGGGGTCATACGGGATCGGCGCGGTGGAGTACCGGCTCGGTGCCGCTTCGAGGCCCGGCTGGTCTGGCGCCGTCGCCTCCGCGTGGGGACGGTGTTGGATTCGATCGGCCATTCCTAAAATACTCTGTCGTTTTCCCTCCTTTTTTTCTTCTTTTGCTCCGATATCCTGCCAGGAGAGTAGAAAGAGACGAGGCGAAAGGCCAACGCGCACGACGATCACAGATTGAACGGAAAGAATGGCATCAAGATCAAAAGGAAACCAAGAGCAAAAATGAGATCGGGCTGCCAGCCGAGTACTTGAATAAGAGCTCAGCTCGCAAGGGTGAACACACCGTCAGACCCCGGCTACGATGGTACTGTAAGCGGCAACCGAGCTTACCATGCAGCGCGCCACCTGGGGGGTTCGCTTTTCACACGATGCCTCATTGAGCTGAGAAACCCATGTACGAACAAGCTTGTTTTGGGGATTGGAGACAGCACGAGCCTTACCTTCCCTTCTCCTGAGACAATTCTCTGTCTGCCTCCCTCGTGGTAAGCGCAAACGCGACCGCCCGGCGACGCCACGTTCCATCCCATGCAATTTAGCCTCAGCCCTAAAGCGCGAACAGTGAGAAGGGGGACGAGAGGAGGGGGGCCAAGCGTATGATGAACGCTTCATGTGCAAGCTGTCGCGACGGCAGGAATCCGTCTACGGATACTAACGAACCCTTTTCGAAACGGCGCCCGATGGCGATGGTGGTGAGGGCGGGTGAGCGGTGGTTGGCTGGCCTTGGGGTCGTAGCCGCCGGGGCGCCTGCATGTGCTTCGCCTCGTTGGCGCGTCAACCGAAATAACTCTTGTCTAGCCTGCGTCTGAGCTGAATCGCAACTGCAGCTGTGTAGAAGTCTGATTTGGTTGGAAGGGATTCTCGTGGTCGAGTTGTACTTCGCGGTAATTCGGGATTTCCGAGGTTGAAATGACGGGCGACGATGAAGAGATCTAACTTTCCTAAGGGAGTTACAATGACCCGAGCAGCAGGCATCTCATCTTGAATAATCATCACCCTATATGGAAGCAAGACGACTGATTACAACGACCGCGCCGATTTGGCTACCAACGATGTCCTTGGACATGAGATTGAAGCTCACGATGAGATTTGATTCACAATAGTGTCTTTTGCATCTTCTCAGCCACCTTTGAGGGCTTCAGACTTACTCAATAATGGTATAACTTGAGAGTCGCTATGTACCATGGTCTTCAAGAACATATCTTAGTTTCCATCCACCGAACCCTACCAGGTGTCAGATTCGACAAAATTGGATGACGTGACAGACTAAATCATGTATCTTGAGCGGTAGTGATCTGGGAACATGGGAGGTGGCCTATCGGCCAAGAGGATCCAGTGCACGATATCGAAGAGAACTACAGATTCATGGATTTCATAGCTATGGCTACGTAGATAATCTTCCAGTCTCAGAGTCTGCGGAACCCATTCATACTCGAATATTCACACTACCAACCCCTCCAGCCACCATCAAGCCTCGAACATCAAGAAAGCTCATGTCTCCTATCATGGTTACTAGACATCTCATTCGGCACAGGCTGTCCATGCATTTCAACCGGCACATATGCCGTCCGCTCGGACTTGGCCCATGGCGACGACGGCCCCGTTCCGGAAGAATCCACCTGGCTCGACAGCGCCGCCCTCGTCTTCCTCTTCTCACGCAACAACATGACGGTCAGCGCCGCGATCGCCAGCGCCAGCGGGGTGCCGATGCCCAGCCCGATTCCCGCCGCCGCGCCCGTCGAGATCCCGTTGCTACTACTGGACTCTGCCGCGGTCGCGGAACACGTGGCGGCGGCCCCGGTGCTTTGTCCTGCTACTGCCGCGGTCGCGGTCACCGTCGTCGTCGCGAGGTCGCCGAGGTCTGATTTCAGATACTCGTTGAGCAGCATCCGGCCCGCGGGAACGCCAAAGGTGTAGTTTGCGCAGTTGCCGGAGTTTTGACATGCGAATTTCTTGTCGCCGCATAACGCGACACCGCAATGCCGGCCGGGGACTATCGTAAAGGTCAGTCCATACCAACCAAAGGCACAGAACTCCCCCAAAACAAGAGAAGAATCTCTTCCCCGTCTTCCTACCAAGAAGTGAGTTTCTTACCTCCGCCGGTAATCTCCTCCTTGTCGCAGTACTTCGGACACCCGCTCCTCGACCAATTCTGATCCGTACACGCGCCGCGGTAGAAGCTCAGCTCCGTCTGCGAGAAGCAGAGGCCGTTGCTCATGCAATAATGATTCTGGAAGCAGCACGCCGCGACCTCGGTACCGCCGGCGACGGGACAGGCTACCGCCTGCGTCGCCTCGACGCCGTTGGGCCAGTAACACGTCTGGCCCGCCACCGCCGTGACCAGCGGCACCGTTGCAAGGAGAAGCCGCCATTGCAGCAGGGGCAGATGCATTGTCAACGATGGGTGCTGCGCCGAGCAATCTTGGAGAAAGGTAAGAGCGAGCTTCGGCACGACGGGAAGGGAACGCGAGGAAAAGTCTTGGGTTGGTGCGGGACGGAACGCCGCGATTAATAAATTTCACTCCATGCTAGGCACAATGGCTATGCTTCAAGTTCCTATGCC